ATATTTGTTAAAAGGTTGCAAAAAAATTAACTGACAAGAATTAATATTCTGCTTTTGAAGTTCTGTAATAAGCTATAAATACAATGGAAATAATCACTCAGCTTTATTTTACGGCTTATCAACCTCTTTTTACGGATGATCAACCTTATTTATGGATTATCAACCTTTTGCATGTTATTTAAAGATAGAAGATATTTTTAGATTATAAGAATATTTTGAAGATAATAATGATTTACTTATACAAGTCATATTAATTAACACATAGCTGGGGGGGATGAGATGGATTCATAACTTCCCCATGGGTAATTGCGAATAGTGAATAAAACGAACTCGACTGGAATTCGAACTCGGCTCTTCGGCTTCCAATTCTGAGCCGTTATCCACTGTTGCTTAAATTCGGTGGTTGTACAAGAAGCGGGTGTTTCAACAAAATTGTCCGTCAGATTTTGTAGAGAAAAGGTTAAGCTCTAAACTATATTTTAACCTTTTACCTTAAATACTATTTGTTTTAAAATCTATTCCCACCCATACTGTTCTAATAATCAATAATATAGTTTTTAATGAAAATTTTGTCTCATAAAATGTAAATATTAAGAATTACATTCAAGCAATTAAATGTGTTTTATAATTTCTGGACGGAGTATATATGTATTTACGTGTACTTATATATATATATATATACTGCCCTGTGTATGACAATAAACTACATCCACGTCCTGGGTAAGACGATAAATTACATCCAACACAAAGGTCTCTGATAATGAGGTTTCGAGGAGCGTGGAATCATCTCTTAATTGCTGGTGTTCCCAGCTCCACCTTGACTTGGGGTAGTAGCACCTGTTAGGGTCCAAGCTGTGGGTAAATACTTAACACGGAAACCCAGTGTAAAAATAGGTTTTAACACCAGGAATACATTTTTGTAAAAATATTACCAGCAATGAATTTCTGAAGAAAAAAAAAATATTACCAGCAATAAAAAGCTTGTCAGCATTAAATAATCCATTCAGGTTGATATTCCGTAAACTAATCCATATCATATATATATATATATATATATATATATATATATATATATATATATATATATATATCTGTGTGAGTGTGTGTGTGTGTGTGGGTGTGTGTGTACGAAGACATCCCTGTGTGGGGTGTAGAGCCTTAAAAACATTTATATATAGGTATAACGTAAATTCATTTAAGATTTTGATATAAATTATGATGAATGCAATTCATCAAAGTAGAGCAGAACTCAACAATCATCAAAAACGTTATACACTGAAAGTTCCTCAAGAATATTAATGTAACAATGACTGCAATACGCACCCAACGTTGCCACATTCAGACAAAACAATGTAACGCTCTAGCAGACTAAAAAGCGACAAGCGTGCTGCTTATATTTGACTGTAAAGCAGCTATCATCATATGTATACTAGAGACAGAGAAAGAGAGAAATTAAAATCTTTTTGCTTACAAAAGAGTGATTTAAATCTTTTCTGCCAACAAATGGTGTTGGAGCAGTAAAAATATATCGGACAGGTACGCTTCCAAACATCTCAAACATTTACTAAATTTTCTTTTTTTTTGGAAGGAATCATTGGTTATGTCTATAACTATTCAGTACAGCGTTGATATATATATATATATATATATATATATATATATATATATATATATATTTATATATATATATATATATATATATATATATATATATATATATATATATATATATGTAGATATAAAGATATATATATATATATATATATATATATATATATATATATATATATATATATATATATATATATATACATATATGTATATGTAGATAATATATATATAGATAGATCAGGGTTGAAAAGACAGACAACAATGTATCGTCTGTCGAAAATGGCTTATTCTTCCACATTAGGTAACATAAAAAGAATTTTTGTGGATTAGTCCACATATTGCTCTGTATAAATAAAAAAAACACCTTGAGCTCTCCATTTGTGTATAAATTTTAATCTATTTATATTACGAGGACCATTTTTGAATTATACATCCACGTAATTTATTTTAACTTTATATGTATATATATATATATATATATATATATATATATATATATATATATATATATATGTGTGTCTTTGTGTGTGGATGTGTGGATGTGGATATGTGGATGTGTGTGCCTGTGTGTGTTAGCAAGACATAGAATCTACGAAAAAGTTGTGAAATATAGACAAAGTGGAAAACCATGTTCTTTCTTGACAAACCCTTTCGCCTTCGTTAGGTAAGCGTCTTCAGATCCAACTTTAAGACACCTAAGACGAAACGCTTTCTCAATAATTTCGTATAAATATATATATATATATATATATATATATATGTGTGTGTGTGTGTGTGTATATATATGTAGATATATATATATATATATATATATATATGTATATATAAATGTATATATATATATATATGTGTATATATAAATATAAATATATATATATATATATATATA